TCCATTGGTCTATATTCCTGTTCTTGTACCAATACCAGGCTATTTTGATTATTGTAGCCTTATAATAAAGTTTAGTGTCTGGAAATGTGATACCTCCTGTTTTGTTTCTTTTGCTGAGGATTGTTTTGGCTATTTGTGGTCGTTTATGTTTCCATATGAATTTCTGTATTGTCATTTTTAAGTCTGAGAACAAATACATATCTTTCCTATACCTCTGGGCTGCTATGAAAACAGTACTAAGAAGGGAATTTGCAACTCTATGCACATACATCAAGAAAATAGAAAGATCATGAGTTAACAGCCTAACAAATCACCTAAGTGAGCTGGAAAGACAAGACCACCAAAACCCTATTTCAGCAGAAGAATCCAGATCATCAAAATAAAAGTCCAAATATGGGACAAAGAAGACAAAAATATCATAGAAAAAAACTATTGAAACAAAAACGTGGTTCTTTGAAAGAATAAACAAGATTGATGGACCCCTAAGCAGACTGACAAAAAAACAAAACAAAACAAAAAAAGCAACACACACACACACACACACACACACACACACACACACACACACACACACAGAGGAAAAAGCCCAAATACATAAAATTAGAAAAGCAAAAGATCAAATCATAACTGACCCTAAGGAAATACCAAAGATTGTCAGTGTTTGCTATGCACACCTGTATGGAAACAAACTTAAAAACCTCAATGAAATAGAGGACTTTCTGACATCACACAACCTTTCAATGTTGAAACAAGAAAAAATTGAGACTCTAAATAGATCAATAACAACCCAGGAAATTGACTCTGTCATAAGAAAACTACCTACAAAAAAAAAAAAAAAACCCCGAAAAACCCTAGATCAGATGACTTTCCAGCAGAATTCTACAAAGCATACAAGGAGAAACTGATACCAGCCCTATTGAAGGTACTCCAGGCATTGAGAAAGACAGAACTCTCTCCAAATCATTTTGTGAAGCTGACATCACACTCATATCCAAACTGGATAAAGATCCAACGGAGAAAGAGAACTACAGGCCAATATCCTTGATGAATATAGTTGCAAAAATTCTCAACAAGATTCTAGAAAGTCGAGTCCAACAACACATCTCAAAAACTATCCACCATGACCAAGTAGGCTTTAATAATCAATAGATGTAAAACTAAGAACCTTATGATTATATCATTAGATGTATAAAAGGCTTTCAACAAAATCCAGCATCTTTTCTTGATAACATCCTCAAACACCTATGTATAGAGGGAGCATACATTGAAATAGTAAGAGCCATCTATGATAAAACCATAGCCAACATGTTGCTAAATGGACAGAAATTTGAAGCATTGTCACTGGAAATCAGAACAAGTCAAGGCTGCCCACTCTCACCCCTCCTGTTCAACGTAGTGTTGGAAGTCCTAGCTAGAACAATCAAACAAGAGAAGGAAATCAGGGGTATCCAAATAGGAAAATAGGAAGTTAACTTTGCCCTCTTTGCTGACAGTACGATCCTATACCTTGAAAACCCAAGAGAACCTGTCAAAAACCTCCTTGCACTGATAAAGTACTTTGGCAAAGTCTCAGGGTACCAAATCAACATGCAAAAGTCACATTTTTATACATCAACAAATAGGCTGAGAACCAAATAAAAGCTCAATGCCATTCACAATAGCCATAAATGCAAAAAATGAAATTCCTTGGCATCTTTCTGACCAGAGAAGTGAAAGAACTTTGCAGTGAAAACTAAAAAACACTGTTCAAAGAAACTCAAGAGATATAAACAAACGGAAAAATATTCCATGCTCATGGATTGGAAAAATCAACATTGTTAAGACGTCTATCCTACCCAGTGCAATCTACAGATTTAACACAATACAGTGAGTACTTTCAACAAAGCCACAGGGTCTTTCCTCAAGGTTACTTGGCCTTTCCTTCAATTAAGTGCCACTTAATCTATGAATTAACTAAGGTCTGAAAATTCAGAGAGGACCTGACTCTTCAATGCTGTGACTGAAGTCAGTTTATTCCCCCTCCAGATCTAGAGTTTTTATTATTATTATTATTATTATTATTATTATTATTATCAGACAAGAAATGCTCTTGCAGGTACCTATCTATTTAATTCCTTGGAACAACAAGATCAATTAGCTCACTGCCAAATATTTTTTGTGTGAAAGCATTTTGATTACTGGTATATCTCTGCTGCTCTTTGTGGTAAACATCCCCAGCTTGTTTTGAAGGTTAAAACTGCCATTTGGTATGACAACCATAGAATTCACTCCTGTGCATGTTTTCTGAGTTTCTTTTCATATGCAATAGCAAAGTCCTGCAATTCTTTTTGTATGCAAACTATTTTATCCTGAGTTATAATAGTGTGTCTTGGCTTCCCGAGCATGGGGAGTGGTGAGATCACCCTAATTATGGTCTAGTGGCACCAGAGTGTGGTTGTGGTGAGTCTTGAGGGGAGGGGGCTTACGGGGCTTCTACCTCAGGTGAGGGTATCACTGGATTTTCAAGCAAGGTAGACTCTCCCCTTCAGCACCAAAGAGGAAGCTAATTCCCTTGGTAAGGGAGGCCCAACATGACATGAGAATTCACAATTTTCAGCTTTATCTGAATCCAACCAGATGTCCCCATTGTATGTTCCACGATTCCATCAATGTCCTAAATTTCACGAGAAGCTTGATGAGGCTGTGAATTTAGCTGTTGTAATTCAGCAATCCGTGCAACTAAATGGCTGCCTATTATTTTTGGCGATAATAGCCCTGTGGGCTACAAGGAAAAGGAATTCTTTCAAGGCTGTCTTGGACGTCTTCTATGTCTCAGATAGTGACTATGCTAAAAGTCAAACGATCTGAGCATGGAGTTTGCTTTTTGTAAGTACTCACAAGCATTACAAAAATCAATCTAAAATCATAGTCTTTGCAGTCATCATTACTGCCGTAAAAGTCAAGTGTAGCAACCACTTGGGATCCTGTGGCACTTGTTTCAGTCGGCTCTTCATCACAATCAACCACAGGTTACACTTGATTAATTACAAGGCCACTGTATGCTTTTCATCACTGGTATCCGATTCCCATTGTCAAGAGCTCAGCCTTGCACTTCAGCCCAAGGGCATGACCAAACCAATTCTTGAATCCCATCTTTGTGGGACTACTCCCACTACCAATTCTTTGTCCATTGGCTTCTGACTTGGAGACAGAAACCACACAGGAAACGTTTACTATAAAGCATCATTCACTATAAGAGGGGAATAACTATGAGAATCCATGAATATGGACAAAGAACTCTGGGCTAATGGAGAGTACCTGAAAAAGAAAAAGTTTGGATGGAAGGCCCCTCTCTAGGCTGGGATTGAGACCAAGGAAGTTTCTTTTCATTGGAGGCATAGTTTCTGTTTGCTCATTGAAATTCCCTGGGCCACTGCATCACAATAGTGCCCCTTTATTCCCATGGTATTTGTCCCAAGATCCCTCCAGTGGCTGCCTGAAACCACAGACAGTACCAAACCCGACTACCATCAGTCAAAACACATTTCTCTTTGCGTCTTTTCATCACACTTTTCTGTTTATGCCTTTCTGTCACAAACTCAATGCCTTTTCCATCATAACTAAGCACTGATCATGCACCGAGGCCATGACTTTTGCAATTTGAGGTGCGACCACAACTAGCACAAATTTCTTTTCCCTTCTTCACAATTTCATGAATAGAAGATTCGTTCTTACCGTAGATCCTGGCAACCTCAACCAATAACTTTTTTCTTTCCTTATTATGTTGTGAACTTTCACCTTTTTCACTTACAGGAAGCATTTTAGGCCGGGTGCGGTGGCTCAAGCCTGTAATCCCAGCACTGTGAGGGGCCAAGGTGAGTGAATTGCCTGAGCCCATGGGTTCAAGGATGGCCTGGGCAACTTGGCGAGACCTCATCTCTACAGTGAATCAAAAAATTAGCTGGGCGTGGTAACACATGACTGTAGTTCCTGCTACTTGGAAGGCTGAGGCGGAAGGATTGCCTGAGCCCAGCAGGTCAACACTGGGGTGGTTGTGAGCATGCCACTGCACTCCAGCCTGGGCAGCTCAACAAAAGAAAAGAAAAGAAAAGAAAACAAAACAAAACAGGAAGTGCTTTACAGCTTCTCTCTGGCATATCTGAATTGCCAGCATTGCTGCCCTTGCACTCTGGGGCCGTTATGAAGTAAAATGAGAGTGATTTGAACACAAGCACTGCAATACCACACCGGTCCATCTAACAACCTGAGACAGCTCCTGAGTGGCGAATGGAGGAGGGTGGTGGAGTCTGCAGCATGGACAAAAGGATGATTCCCACCCCAGCAGGACAGAGTGGGGTGGTGTGAGTTTCATCATGCTACTCAGAACGTCATGCGGTTTAAAACTTATGCATTCTTTATTTCTGGAAGTTTCCATTTAATATTTTCAGACCGCAGTTGACTGCTGAAGTGCTGGAAGGTAAGGGAAGGCACAAAGATTCGGTACTAGGCAAGCAGCAGACACATTCTAGGGGTAGGTCTGGTTAAGATTGGGTCTGGGCACACAGAAGGAATTAGGGGAAGGAGCCCACTCACCAAAGGCAACATGAGGCCTGGCAGGCATGCTGCCCACATTGAGAGGGCATGGCAAGGGGTCAACTGGCCAGAGGCAGGGCCAGGGCTGCAAACTGGTCAAGAGACGGAGAGCTGCAAGAAAGTAGCTGGGAAAGAGCCACTGGCAGCCATGTATTCACTGGCAGTCACGTGGTAGGAGCCAGAAAGAAAACACGAACACTCCAGAACCTCGAAAAAAGAGAAGCCAACCTTCTGTCTTCCTCTGCAATACCCTCTACCCCAGCACCCTCTAACAGAGCTGAAATCATGCTCTTCGCAAAAGGGAACGACTTAATAAAGGACCCAGGCTGCATTCATCACAAAAGCAAGCCATAAATAGTAGATTTGAAGCTGAAAGGCAACTATTTGATGACTACACAGATCCCTGTCTTGAGTCCCCTTTTCTGCTTTTAACTTCTCTTGCTTCCTGTCTCCCCCGTTTCATTCCCCTGTGACCTTGGACTGCTGATACACGCAACTATCCCTGATGACCGCTTTAATTTTTCTGAGTCTAATGATGCAAACACCTGAAAACAGAGGGAAGGAGGTACAACAGATTACATGAACTATACATACAAAATATTATATATAATTTCATTAAGTGATATTGAGACTAAGTTGGTGGTAAAAGTTTGGTAGTGATCTTAATTCTCTCTTTTTTTCCACTTCTGTACTCTCGCACAGATCATGCAGTTCTAAAGAACTGAAGATGTTTTTCCCATTCTTGATTTGCAGCAGCAATGGTTGGAATTTAGCCTGGAAATATCGTTACAATTACCTGGTTCCCCGATGGCTTTGTGGAAGTGTTATCAATTTAATAAGAGGGATTCTCCGAATACCAGCTGCCTGTACAGGTAGGTCTCAGAGGACTGTTGGGAGTATTTTCCCTCACAAAATCTGCGCTTGGGCTTGCCCTCACACAAATCACTCATTAAGCCTTTAAGGAATTGTCTGTGGGGGTCATCACTGAGGAAAGAGCTTGCAGGAGACTTCTGTGACAAGTTTTTTTCTGCTAAACTGTGTTGTAATTTCAACTGCAAATAAACATTTTTCAATTTCCGAGTCAATAAGCAATACAGTTTTCTAGCAGTGGAAATAATGCTTGAACTCCCAAGCTGAATCCCTGCTATTTCTATGTGAGTGCTTTGTATAGCAGTTTCAGTGCTGTGCGCTGTGCTTATTTCAATATATGGTGTGTGACAGAGCTCTGCAGCAGGTAAAAACAAGATAATATCGGACTCTGTGGTACAAGTAGTGGATTTTATGATGGCTTTGGTATCAGTGAGAGTTAAATACATAGCCATTTTTTGGTTACTGCTCATTCTTTCTGAATGACTCACATGATTTGTATCAGTCAGTGTTCTTGATTGAAATCTGTAGAAAATGTCTGGTGATGCTAAGTCAGAAAGGGAATATACTGGAAGGATAATCAGGACTTGCAGAACTGAGGGGAGACTGGAGGCCCAGAGTGAGAACTTGGTAGATTCCAAGAGCGCTCTGGAAGTTGGCAGCAAACACTACTGCAAAGACCATGCAGCAGACATATGTTGATGTGCTGCAGCTGAGAAGAAGATGACCTCAACCAGCAGTGAGGTCCCACATCCTTCACAGTCATGGGAGAGTGAGTCAGACTGGCTCAACTTTAAGATGCCTTCCTTTGGTGAGAAAGGCACTAGTTCGCTCCAAAACTGTACGTGATATGGGATGATGAAGAGATGTCAGGTGCTCTAGGAATGGAGAATTAGATGCTAGACTGTTATGAGGTGGCAAAAGTCCTCCAAACAGTTCCTATTTGTTGTACTCCTTTTTTTTTTTGAGTTGGAATCTCACTCTGTCGCCCAGACTAGAGTGCAGTGGCTGCTCCCAGCCACCGCAACCTCGACCTGCTGGGCTCCAGCGATTCTTCCGCCTCAGCCTTCTGAGTAGCCGGAACTACAGGCGTGCGCTACCACGCCCGGCTCAGTTTTTGATTTATTGCAGAGATGAGATCTCGCTGCCCAGGCAGGCCTCAAACCCGCGGGCTCAGGCCATCCACTCACCTCAACCTCCCAAAAGCGCGGGATTACAGGCTGAGCCACCGAGCCCGTCTCGTTGTACTCATTTTAAGGTGACTGGGAGACATAAGTTCCAAGGATTGTCCATTTAAGTCAATGTAGAGTATATGTGCAAAATGTTAGTTGAGGTAAAGCAATTTTTAATCCTTTATTTGTTCATTCAGTCATCTATTCATCAAACATGCATCCACTATGTATACAGTACAAGATTCTGTTCTGGATCAATTGAATGCCACTGCCACCCACTTGTGCCTTCTCCCCTTTCCCCTTCATTCCTGCTCTTAGACTTTAAAAAATGTATATGTTAGAGCCAATAAATTACAAGCTATTCAGTCTCTTGTGTATGTCATTAAAGTTCCTTTTCCCCTAATATCCTGTCCCCAGCTTTCTCCCAAGTTGTCCAGCCTTGGTCATTTGAGTGTTGATTTAGATCTCTGACCCAGGGAGGGCACGGAAGGGAGATGAGGTCAACCTGGAAACATCTCCAAGATTATTTTAAATGGCTCTAACAGGAGATTTTGACACAGGATATTGCATAAAATATATTTTAGGAATTATTTTTGGATTTTAATGACCCTTGTTCTCCCTGGCCTCAATCATCAGAGCTAATTAAAAACGGGTTTATCAAAACGCCTGTGGGTTAAAGGGGTAGCCACAACCACTCAGGAAGGCAGCCATGGTGTGATGACTTGTAAAAATAGACATAGACTTTAACCCAAGCTCTGGCTGTGCCTCTTACTAACTGTCTGAGCTGTTTCGTTGCTCTTTGAACACGGAAATGAGCAATGTGCATATATGAACACGCCTGTGAGTGCACGCCCAGATACTTTTGTAAGTACCAAAGCATTAGAGGGCTCTGGAATCAGATGGAGCAGGAGATGATATCTGGGTCCATCATGTAGCTAGCTGTGCAAATTTGGGGCAATTTACTTACCTTCTTTGATCATTAATTTCTGCAGGTGTCAAATGGGACTTATTTCATGAGGTTGTTGCAGGAATTAAAAGCTATAATGCATGTGAGGTTCTTAGTAAATGCTTGGTATGCAATGAGCACCCACGAAGATACAGTAGGTATTATTATATGCATTCACATACACTGTCCTGCACTGCATACCAATATCTTGGTCCACAACAGACACATATATGATGGTGATCCCAGTGATCCTATAAGGATTGTAATAGCTGGAAAGTACCTATCACCCAGTGATTTGGTAGTAGTGGTCTTAACATTTTAGCACAATACACTACTCCCCTGGTGTGGTGATGCTGGTGTAAACAAACTTACTGTGCTGCCCATGATTTAAAAGTCTAGCACATGCAATTATGTATAGTACATGGCACTTGAAAATACTAACAAATGACTATGGTACTGGTTTATGTATTTACTATTCTACACTTTTTATTATTGTTTTAGAGTGTATTCCTTCTACTTAAAAAAAAATCACTATAATACAGCCTCAGGGAGTTCCGTTGGGAGGTATCCAAAAGAAGGAAGGCATTGTTATCATGGGAGAGGGCAGTGCCACGCATGTTACTGTCCCTGAAGATTTTCCAATGGGACAAGAGGTGGAGGTTGAAGACAGAGCTGGCTGGTTCTGACTCTGCTTGGGCCTAGGTTACTGTGTGTGTTAGTGTCTTAATTTTTGACAAATAACATTTAAAAAGTTTAAAAAAATTAAAATAGGAAAAAGCGTATAGAATTAGGACACAAAGAAAGAAATAAAATACATTTTTACAGCTGTACAGTGTGTCTGTGTTTTAAGCTAGGTGTTACAACAAAAGAGTTAAAAAGTTAAAAAGTTAAAAACGAGCCGGGCTCAGTGGCTCAGCCTGTAATCCCGCACCTTGGGAGGCTGAGGTGAGTGAATTGCCTGAGCCCGTGAGTTCGAGACCCGCCTGGGTAACTTGGTGAGACCTCATCTCTACAATAAATCAAAAAATTAGCTGGGTGTGGTAGCTCGCGCCTGTAGTTCCAGCTACTCGGAAGGCTGAGGAGGAAGGATCGCCGGAGCCCAGCAGGTCGAGGCTGTGGTGGCTGGGAGCAGTTACTGCACTCCAGTCTGGGTGACGGAGTGAGACTCCAACTCAAAAAAAAAAAGTTAAAAACATATACAGCTAAAAAGTTACAATAAGCTGAGGGTATTTAATTATCTAAGAAAGAACATTTTAAAGACATTTAGTGTAGCCTAAGTGGACAGCGTTTATAAGGTCTACAGTAGCGTACGGTCATAGCCTGGCTTTCACATTCCCTTACTACTCACGGACTCACCCAGGGCAACTTTCCAGTCCTGCAAGCCCCACTCATTGTAAGTATACCCTATAGGAGTACACCACTTTTAAAAATCTTTTTTAAATTTTTATTTTAAAGATGAGTACAATTCAGGGATAGGTATACAAATGGTCATTGCACAGGTAAAGCTTGGGCCTCACTTTGGTTCCCGCTTCACCTGGTTTGAGATCAGGTACCTTATTCATGAGGTGTGGGCTCACACCTCTCTCCCTCAGCAGTTTCCCATTATTGTCAGTCCCTTTAAAAATCTTTATGCCGTATTTTCACTATACCATTTCTGTGTTTAGATGCACACATATTTACCATTGGGTTACAGTGGCCTTCAGTATTCAGCACAATACATGCTGCACAAGTGTGTAGCCTAGGAGGAAAAGACTGTACTGCATAGCCTAGGTGTGTAGTAGGCTGTCCCATCTAGGTGTGTGTAAGCACAATCTGTGATGCGTGCATGATGTCAAAATCATCAAACACCCATTTCTCAGGACACATCTCCATCGTTAAGCAAAGCGTGACTGTACCTATACCCTCGAATTAATAGCTTTGTGACCTTGATCATTTCTTTCTTTTCTTTTTTTTTAAGTTGGAGTCTCACTCTGTCGCCCAGACTGGAGTGCAGTGGCCGCTCCCGGCCACCGCAGCCTCGACCTGCTGGGCTCCAGCGATCCTTCTGCCTCAGCCTTCCAAGTAGCCAGAATTACAGGCATGCGCTACCACGCCTGGCTGATTTTTTGATTTATTGTAGAGATGGGGTCTTGCTGCCCAGGCGGGTCTCGAACCTGCGGGCTCAGGCAATCTACTCACCTCAGCCTCCCAAAGGCGCAGGATTATAGGCTGAGCCACCAAGCCCAGCTTGAACATTTCCCTTAACCTCTCTGTGCTGCCTTTGCAACTTAACATCCATGACCACCTCTCAGGTTTGTTGTGATTCAGGAAAAAGAGTGGCTAACATTATTGAGCCCTGACTACTGTATATAAAAGGGCCTCATACAATATAAAGTGCTATCAGGTATAAGATATTACTGTGCACAGCAGCTGGTTAGAGGATTCTCAACAGAAGAATGAAATTCACATTCATTTCACAATCACCTCTGATTAAAATGCCACTTGGGAAGTGTAGACCTTTCATTCTGAAGTGATCCACATTCCAAATGAAAGGTTAACTAGCAAGTCCCCACTTTGACTTTGCAATCAAAGGTAAGTTCAATCTGTCAGCCTGTATTTATGAGGCAGAGAGGGAGCAATGACAATATTCTGAAAGAAAGTTCACCTTGTTCCAGAGACGCTTTTCTATGGAACATTGAAAACCCACACTCTGAAGTCTCTGGCACCATTGAACACTCCCTCCAGGTGAAAGAGAGGGCACAGAACTTGTAGGATGTCCAGTGGAGAGAGAGTGTGTGTGTGTGTGTGTGCTTGAGGAATTAGTCCCTGTGTTTGTGGGACCTGGTGAGTCTGAAATCTGTAGGCATGGCGGGCAGGCTGGTGACTCTGGCAGGGTTTCCACATTGTGGTCTAGGGGCAGGGAGTGCTTGCTCTTAATGCCTTCAACTGCTTGCATGAGGACCACTCACATGATGAAGGGTGACCTGCTTGACGCAGAGTCAGCTGAGTGTAAATGTTAGTCACATCCACAGATTCCGTCACTAGTGTCTGACCAACCCCTTAACCTAGCCAGGTGGGCACAGCCACT